ATACAAAGCTGGTGCGTTTTTTTGTTCAAACCACTAAAATAAGATCGACTAAAATAAATAAAAAACAGCCTTTTATGAAAACAAAATATTTTTCAAAAAACCAGATGACATAAGAGTAGCTTGATAGTTTTAATTAAATGATACAGTGCTCAAAAAAATATATCACCCTCAATAACTTTCTTTCTAACGATCATATTTTCTCGCACTAAGTGTCAATCATAATGGTTCCTGGGGGGTGACCTCAAATATGCTAATTATTTAATGATAACTATTAAGTTAAGAAATCAGAAACGTACTTTCTCTGAATTAATATATATATATTTTTACGTATTTGGATTCTTAACCTTCAAAATATAGGGGGTAGCCGCAATCAGAAAAATATGGTCCCCATAGTTTGGTCAGGAGAGCGATCCTAAGTTCGAACTCCTTAATGTTAATTTCACTTTTTGCGTTTTTAGTCATATTTTAAAAATTAATTAATCATCTCAAAAAAAACAAAAATGCGCCCACTCATAAAAGATACTCAAAGATAGTTTCATGTATTACTCAAAGGCAGTTTCATAAAAAAATAATTTTTAACAATTACTTATTATTTTTTATTATTTAATTGTGGATAAAAAAATTTTAATTATGAGGTATAATTTTTTATAACATTTTAAACTACGTAGTTTTCTATATCAAAATCGGAAGTTTCAACCGTTTTTAGAAGAAGCGGAGAAAAATTAAAATTGTTTTCAAAAAAATAATTTTTCGAAGATGAAGAAATATTTAAATATGGATGATTAATATTTAAAAGTAGATAATTTACGAGAAATTTAACTTACGCGCGTAGAGTAAAACTTCATATTTTTTTCACTAATAACCGATTGCTAATTCTTTTTCTTTAAATTATAAAATACAATGTTTCATTTTTAGTCGTCTAAAAACTTATTCGTAATTTAATAAAGAGATTTGAATAAAACATTTTATTGAATAAGAATAGTATATTAAGGAATGCTGAGTTTTATAAGAGCATGTTTCTTATAGAATGTGATTATTCATCAGCTTTTTTATTTTAGTTTTTTAGTTGTTTTTTTCAATAACTGATACAATTTCAATAATATATATACGTATGCATTGATTTGAAATAATATATTTATCAATTTCTTCAGTATATATTTTAGAATTATTAATATGAATACGTAGTCAACATATTTAAGTATCGTAAAACTTCTCAACATCTTATATATTGTCTTAATCTTACATTTTCTTAATTACCTGTCCGATCGTGCTTTGCAGAACTATTTATCAATTATTTAATTAAATTTTAACATTTCTCAAAATCTTTTTCTTTACGCTACCACGTATATTATTTATTTTATTATTATCTAATAATTTTTTTTTTTCAATTTAGGTTTTCTTTAAAGTAAAATTATTTTTTAAATTACTAGTCAAGTGTTTATTAAAAGAAAACTTATTGCCAGTTATCTAAGAATTAAATCTTGTTAAGAAATTAAAAATATTCTGCTGATCAAAAATTCTATACCAAACACTGACTATTTACTACTGACTATTTACTGAGCATACTATTAGGGACCCCAGAAGGTAATGTCGTTTCGGTGCATTTGATATTTGTTATCAAGATTTTATTTTGAATCAATAATGTATTCATTCTCATAACAACAACAATTTCAATGCCGGAAATGGATGAATAAAAAAAAATGAATTGGTTTTTAAAATCCCATTCGTTAGTCTTAAGATTCGTTATTCGTTAGTCTTAAGACTAACGAATATTTAATGCACCAAAACGACATTACTCTCTGATCTTCCTAATAATTTTTCAAAAAATGAAAATAAATTATTATTATTTTTTTTTATTGTTTCTTATTTTTTGAGCAATGAAAAGTAAATGCATATGTAACAGATTGCTTTGTTTTCTAAATGAATGAAAAATTATGTACGTACAATTTTACTTTGATGTCCAAACTTATTCTTGCCTACAAACTTTAAGAAAGTATCCTCTTAAAAAGGCTAATGTTGATAAAACTTGATTAAAGTTAAAAACTCTCCTTTAAAAAAAAACATTTTTATATTTGTCAGGAAAATGCTCGATTATGCCTTATTTTGTGAAAAAGCAAACACTAAAAATAGAAAATTGTAAAAAGATTCCAAAACCTTGCTTCATTTTTAAAATATAATTATAAAAAATTGTTGTTTTTCTAACTTTATTTTTTTATTAATTTTCTTAGCCCTTTACTGTCGTATTAAGTTTATACATGGGTGTCATGCTGGTCGGAATTACTTCTCGTTGAACAAACAGTAATACATAATATGCAAGATTATGAAGGAAAAATAAAATTTATTAATTCTTTTTTTAAACTTTCGATATATGTAACACAATAATATGTTTAAATTTTGATTATAAATTATATTTTATAGTTCACCATCGTGTGATATCTTTCAAAGCAGTCTCCAATATGAAGCCCTGGTTTTGGAGAACATATCTCGCAAAAATAATAAGCTTGGCCTTTAATTTTTGTGTTTAAACATTCAGAACAATCTTTACTCTTTACATCTTCACAGTGTCGTATTATGTGTAGTTGGCCATTAAGCTGTGGCTAACATCTTTGCTGGGGTGGCTGAGAGCAGACATACGTCTGGAACGATAAAAAAGTGTTGGTGGCTGAGAGTAGACATACGACAGCAAAGGGTTAATACTAAAATAAGATATATCAAGAGATGTTTAGATAACAAACTATTTTATAGCTGTAATTCAGCAAATAGTTTTAATATACTTTTTTTAGAAATCATAAATAGAAATTGCTCTTTTATTTCATTGTAAAAAGACAAGAATGTTAATGTTTCATTTATGCTCAATCGAAACGTGACAATTAATCCCAGAATTTAAATCTATTTGGACATAACATTTAATAGCCTGAAACAGAAATAATTAAAATTATTAGATTAAAAGCTAAACTTGTTATGTTAAGGGCGGCAGGAAAGATGAGGAAAAGACATTTAGGTGAAAATCCGATCATTAGAACGAAAATTATTCAGAGTCATACTTTTTTTTCCTTTTTTTTCGGCGAACTGTACATTACATGGTATGATTTGATATGATAATTTAAAAATCGGATAGTTTATTGGAGAAACAGATGTAAACTTTAGAAGTGTTAAGAACAATAATTTTAAACTACTTAAAATTATAATGATCGATTTCTCAAATTTTACAACCAAATGTATTAAGATAAGATACTGATTGTTTCTGTCACGTCTGTTGTATTATTTTAACAGGAATTATTGTGAGCAGCAGCATTAGACGTCTGATGCATTATTACATCATAAAAATTACTATTAATTAAAAACTATAAATAATCAATAAATTTAATTTAAATACAATAGGCAATATGTCTATACACATTGGACGAAAAAGTTGTGAGCCCAACTCAAAAATCCTGGTAATCTCTTGAGTAAAATCATTAATGCCGCTTTTCAAAAAAAATATTGGTTTTATAAATTTAAATCACTGATATTTTCAGAACATGAAATTCTAAATAAATAATATGCAGCATAATTTAAATTAATAATTATGAATAGGTTTATTTTTATCGCTAATCGCATTTAGTATTCTACCAGAAAAAATATTTACAAATGAAAGAGATGCCAAGTATAAATTCTAATTCTAATATTTTTAAATGAAATTGTATACAAGAATTTTTATACATAGATGTGATAGATTTCTCTAAACTTTTGGACCTTGGATTTCGGGATCGCGGTTAGAGAAAAATTTGGAAATCCGGATTTTTTTCCAGAGCACAATCTTCTCTGCAGTAAGGTAAAAAATTAAAAAAAGTCAATAAAAGCTATTTAAATAAAAGACTGTTTCCTTAATAAAATCCACCTGGCTTGGAGTTTTTTTAGAATACACAGACAAATGCTACACTGTTAGCAAATGCTAACTATGGACCCACAGTTTGAAGACACTATTTCTGGTGGGATAAAGGTTTACTAACAGTTGAAGGCAAAATTCAAACTGTTATTTCAAGGACAAAAAGTTTTATAGTTCTCTCTTGTTGCGCCATATTATTTTGCGGATGGAATAAAAAAATTTTAGGCAGTTTAATATGTACTAATAATTTCCAGCAACGAGCTACTGTTTGAAAGTAAAAATGAATTATTTTGTAAGTCAAAATATAGTTAAAAATTTATTTAATCCAAAACTTTTTTTGGCAAATGAATATTTTATTTGGATTAACAATGTCGTAAACTTGGCTTAAATTTGAAGGCGAAATTTAAATGCCTGTTCTTTTTCGTCGAAAAGTAACTATAATTTATTTTGAAGATTATTATGCCTTTTTTTGTGGAGAAATTACGAAACATTTATTGGATGTCAATTTTCTGAATTCGATATTAAATTCAAACATTTAGCTTTTTTTTGTTGTCAAAAATCAGCGAAAACCTGTGTATGGCATTTTTTAGCGGTCAAGCAAACGAAACTTTTTGGAGATCAAATTTAAGTTACCAATTTTCTACAATTTTTATTGCTGTTTAATAAATTTTATAAATTGCCAGAAAATTGTAATTATAAAGGATCACTAAAGGAACTGTCAGAAACGGGCATAAAAGCAACGCCATTTTCTTAATGATGTTATTTCTTATAACCATTTGGGCAAAAAAGCATCTCTTAAATTAATAAAAATGAAAAATATTTGTGTGCATCAAAATTCAAGTTCATAGGAGAAATAGTTTTTAAAAAAATTACGTAACCTGTGTTTGGAAATTGCAGTTTTGAGAAAGAGAAAAAAAAAGTCAGCAAAAGGGACAAGTAGCAACATTAATAAGTTACACTAAGAGTTTTTTTCTNTTGCGTAGCAATTCTCGGGGGTTGGCGAGCGTTAGCGAGCAGGGGGCGGAACCTCTTAGTATTTTTTATTCCTTATTGAGAAGTGAAAATTGAACTAAATATTTGGTCGGCACTGGGAGATCTTAAAATGAATGGAACATGAGAATGAAATTCGTACCTGAATTATGGTGTATCACATTATACACCTGAATCAACGTCATCAGGACTCAACTCTATCAGGAAAGAAGGCCACATCTTGTACTGTAAAAATTACAAAGGAAATTATAAGAGAATAAATGTGGTAATCGACATTTCAAATAATAAATTACAATAAAAATTATTCAAAAAATAGTGACACTTATATTTTACAAAACGAATGTGTGAACGGTGCAAAAGATTACGAGAACAGGGAGGAACGAGACAATAACTTATAATTTGTCTATTTAAAAAATCACCTTAGGACTAAGTTTAAAACTGTCTACTGCTATGGAAACCAGAAAAACAGCAGAAAAAGTTTATCACAAGAGGGTGCTTTTCTCCCCTGATTTCCTTACTCTCACCAAACCTATCTTAAATATTGACCCAACACTCCAACTTGAAATAGTTCGTCACCGTCTCTGCTCCAGACGAATGGCGAGGGGAGATCTTTCAATAGAACGACTGTAAAAGAGATGGTTTAAGTAAGTATTTCACGTGTTTTGAAAAAGCGGACTGTAATTGCCTTGCTTAATTATTTTTTTTTAATTTTAAGACAGGCTAATTATTTAAAATAAATTATCATTAAACATAAGCATAGGTTTATCTTTCCCTTACGCTGCATGCATGTGGTTGGTTGTCGCATTTTTTTTCAAATTTCAGACCTAAAAAAAGCAGTTTTTTATTGCTGAAAATTAATATCCTAACTTCACAAATGCAAAACATTTGTTCTCAAGCAGTTTTTAACATGACGTATTGTTGGCTCCCAACAACTGATTTCCAGTTTTCCCTGTTTTATCTTTATAAAAAATTCAATGTGATAACATATTTATTAACTCTATTGCTTTAAAGTGTGTATGATCTTCAAGAAATAGTTATTAAACTTGGGTAAAAAATATTTTGGTAAATACTTTTTTCAGAAATATCATCTTCGGATAGAGAGATAATAAATTCACTGTCCTCGGATTCACTCTCCGAATACATCATAACTATTTTGACATGTAACGGTAACACTAATGAAAGCTAAATTGCAGAAAGTACTAATTGATTTTGATTTCAATTCAAGGCGGAAAATCTCAATGCGAAAATTGTGACGAAAGTGGGACTAGTTGCGCCATCTCTTAGCAATATTCAGAAATACAAAAGTAATCACAGGATTTAAAGAATCGAGTAGGTAGCGACGAATTCAATTTCAATGATGCAATTTTTTTTTCCTTCCTCACATGGCATGAGAAGTCTACCATACGGCCACAAAAAGGCCGAGATGCGATACCAACAGAGAAAGGGTTAAAGGTAGGCATGCAAAAGCAAGCTGGCATACAGGTTTGTATGGATTTTCTTTTGCAGTAAGATAGATTTTCAGATGCCAAATGCCGATTTTTTTAATATAGTTTGCCTCCAAGTGAGGTGAACCGGGTTCGAATCCAGCGATGGCTGGTCGGAACGAATCCCATCTGGCTTGCACAGACAACAGTGCTGACGTGAAATGTACTCAGTGGTAGACGGATCATGGGTTCGAGTCCCCTTGCCGTCAGGCTAACCGTCGGAGGTTCTCGTGGNGTTGAAACTTGTTCAGACAGAACTATTTTGAGGCGTTGGCAGTAGTCTGAAAAACTGCATTGCTATTGTAGTTAACTACATACAACTATGACTACTGTATTACAAATGTAATTAACTACAATTACTTTTTTAAATGCAGTGACTACGAACTATTTTTGACGAATTTACGAGACGAATTTTGTTGGAGAGTTTCATTTACAACCATGTCCAAAATATTTTTGAATGAAAAAAAAATAGGCTTATTAAAAATGAGAAATAATTACGCAATGTTTTTTCATGTTTGCATGAGTCAGTTTGTTATTCTAAATAGTTTTTCTCGAATTTTTTCTGTTAACAATTTAAACTTTTCATGACTTTATCGACGGCGCATATTTATAAAAAAAATGATAAATTAAAAAAAATTTCGAATACGTGCAATTTTGTGAAGCGTTTTATACTCTTATTTTAAAAATGAATTCAAGATTGCTTTTTTATTTCAATTGTAGTATATCAAAAATTAGTCAGAAAATATATTTTCTTCCATTAAAATAAACGGTTCATCAATTTACAGTGCAAAAAAAAAGAACCGAACTAATTTGAATAACTTTTTATCTGATGATTGGATCCTCACGTTCTAGTACTCAATCTTAATGGTTCGAGGGAGTAAATACTAATATGCTAATTAATTAATGCAGAAAACATTTTAAGCTACGAAAGCAGACACATATCGTACTTTCTCGGAATAGACTTAAATTTTTTCGGGGGATTCGGATTTCTGATCCACAAAATATAAGTGGTAGTCGCAATCTGGGTAATATGGTTCCAACAGTTTTGTCAAGAGGTGTCCAAAGTTTGGACACTTTAATGTTATTTAGACTTTTTTGCATAGTTTGCTATATCGCGAGGACTTTTTAAGCGAATTGAAAAGTTTTAAACGCAATTATAAAATTCGTTATCAAAAGATAATACCATACAAAAAATAGCTTTTAGTAAGTATTTATTACTTTTAAATATTTTATTTCATAATAGACAAAAAAAAATTTTAAAATATATGCTTTCCAAACTTTTT